GGTTTTTCATCATTAACCTTATTTATTAATTTAATTAATCAACTATTTTTGTTAATTTAAATGAGTTTCTTTTTAGGTTTATTCATCATTAACCTTTTTTATTAATTTAATTAATCAACTATTTTTGTTAATTAAAATCAATTAGTTTTTAGGTTTATTTTAATCATCATTAAAAAAACCTTTTCTATAAAAAACTCATCAAAAACATTTCTTTTTTTCTCTATTTTAATTTTATTTTATTTTCATAGATAAATTGTATGGGGTTCTCAATTTGTAATAGCTTATATTTCTCGATTTTCTTTTTTCATTATTATGTAACTGTTTTTCGGATTGTAATAGCTTAGAGTTTTTACTTTCTGATTTATATTATGTAACTGCCCCAAAATCGTGTAATAGGTTTAGGTTTATCTTTTCTGCTTTTACTTTCTACACCTTAACTGTCTTTTTTATACTTGCTATTACCGCTTAGTAATTAGGTTTACATGAAAAGACTAATAACAAATCGTTAGAAAACCATGATTGAAAAGATAAATTAACTGAATACAAAACACTTGCACATGCGCACCTCTAGGGTAGCCTTCTCTCTTGTTTCCTTTCAATTAATAAGTCATGTCCCTCGAACGTGGGGACACTTTAGTAAAGTCCCTCTGATACAAAAGATCATATTCCCTTGATGACCCTTTCGATGTTGCCTTTGGTAAATGATCTAGTCCCTTAAATAATAAAAGCTAAAGCGTCTTTACTAGTTACCTTCGATGACTGTACGATAACCCTCGTCTGTCCCTTCACATCCAACGATAGGGCTTCCTACTAAATAATGGTAGGGTAGCATTATCTAAAGGAGGAGGAAAAGTATAATAAAGACCTTGAGTAGGTAGACCGTTGTTAATCGCTTACTCATAAATATCTTCAAAATAAAAACTTTTCGCACAGACACTTTCGAATTATTTTTAAAATACCTTGTACGCATTCTAGAGGACAGATACAAAAATCACTACAAAGTTTGCCTTACAATTGGAATTTTCAAAATATTTCCAAACATGCATAAAACAAAGCAATTTTCAAAACAAAGTGAGCTAAGCGATTAAGAGCCCGTAGTTAACTACGGATGAAAAGGGTGCTAACACCTTCCCTTTTCATAACCTACCCCCCGAACTCAAAAATATAGAAGGTCTTTCCTGTTCTTTTCACCCTTTCCTTATCGGATAAAATAAAAGTTGGTGGCGACTCTTGCTATCCATAAAATTTGCGATAAATCACAAAAACCAGTCAGTTCTCCCACCTTGTTACAGGTTTGCATAAAAATACAAAAATAAACTTAGAAAACCCTAATTTCAAAGATAAAAAAATGAACTGAACACACTTTTCACACTTGAACCTCTAAGGTAACCTCTCTTGTTGCCTTATGGTTAACAGTCATATCCCTTAAACGTAGGGATGCTTTAGCAAAGACCCTCGAATAAAATATCATATTCCCTCGATGACCCTTCAACGTTTCCTATGAATAACATGATCTAGTCCCTATACGAAACTGCTAAAGCATCTTTACAAGTTGCCTTCGATGACCGTACAATGATCCTTTGTTGTCCCTTCACATCCAATGGATAGGGCTCTCTACCAACTAATGGTACGGATAACACTATCTCTAAAGAAGGAGGAAAATAACAAGAACGACCTCTAGTGGGTAAGATACTTTTAATCGCTCGCTCATAAACTTTTCTCACAAATAATACACTTTTCAAACAAAATATTTTCTAAAACACTTTGTACATATTCTTGAGGATTGGTACAAGAATCATTACAAAGTTTGCCTTACATTGGCGTTTTCAAAATGTTTTCAAACAAATTACACACAAAGAAAATTTTCCAAGTGAGCTAGCGATTAAGAGCCCGTAGATAACTATAGATGAAAAGGGTGCTAGCACCTTCCCTTTTATAACTTACCCCCCGAACTCAAAATCTTCAAGGTCTTTCCTATTCTTTTCACCATTTTCTTATTGGATAAAATAGAAGTCGGTGGCGACTCTAGCTATCCGCACATTTGCGATAAGACACAAAAAAAGTCAGTTCTCTCATCGTATTAGAGTTAAAGGTGAAATTAAACGGATAAGGAGGTTACATTGTATTGTACTTCCAAGTCTAGATGATGTGCTTCTTGTGAAATAACTGAATTCCAATCTAATAAGTATCAGTCAGTTATGTAATCAAGTCCTAAATGTGAATTTCACCAAGTTTGAATGTTTGTTTACAAATGAGAAAAATGATGTGCTGATCAGGGGAGTTTGGACTAAAGATAATTTCTATTTGTGGATACCACAAGAAACTTATAATTCCTCCACATGTTTAATGTCCAAGGAAGATGAAGTCAAGTTGTGCCACCAGAAGCTTGGACATATGAATCCCAAAGGTAGGAAGAAAATTATGTCTGAAGAAGCTTATAGGGCCATTAACTCCAAAATCAAAGTCATGATGTTATCCATTAATGTTGTGGTTGATGATACTGGTGTCGAAGAAGATGTTGGAACATCATTTCACCAAACTGATGCTCTAGAAGATGAGGCTGACAATGAGTCTCATCCTATTAAGACTTCTAAAAATCTCAAAAGTTTATGTCTGATAAAAACTCCCAAGGGGTTGTATCTAAAGATGAATCTTCTTGTGATGAAAGCATGTTTGGTGAAAGTGAGAAAGATTTGTCTGTCAAAGAAGACAAAGAGGAAAGAGTTAATATGAAGAAGTATCAGTCTAATAATACTGTGAATGTTGATAATCCGGATTTCGATGATGATCCTATAGGAAAGATATGGTATTTCCAAAAGGATAAAAAAAAGGAAATGAGAGGATGTTGTGCCTTCTAAGAATTCTAAAGAAAGTCCTATTGTTATACCTTCGAAGAGATGGAGTAAAGTTGTGGTTCCCAATAGCGGTAGAAATGTTATAACAAAGTCATTGGATTGACTTGACTCGCACAAATCAAATAAAAATCGCCACAGCGCTTTATTGTTTCCAGAGGAATGGGAAAAGAGAAAATAACCCAAAAAAATAGGGCGAGAGAACCTAGGTACAGGGGTTGGTTATGTCAAGGGAAGGTATTAGCATCCTAAACATCTACGGTACTCCACAGGAACCTCTTTGAAAATTTGTGTATTTTGGCTATTAAAAAGAGTTATTTGCTAAAAATATGCATGAATGAATTAATTGGGAAAAGAAAGAGTTTTTTATTATTGTGTTCGTCTGGATATTCAACCTAGTGCCTACGTATCTCAGGAGGAATCAGAACACTCGTAGTTCTTCCTAAAAAAATGTTTTATTTTTTTATTGTTTTTTAATGAAAGACATATTGTTGTATTCGAGTGAAAAATATACTTACTACCCACAATTATGAGAAAGGAGAATTTGCGTCATCTCAAAGTGGAGGATCTTGGATTAAAATCAACTAGACATCACTCAACACCTAAGTGGAAAATGTAAATCGCTTCACTATATATTGTAGAAGTATAACAACTTGTATCACTATAAGAATCAGCGAGAGTCTAATCTCTGAGAAAAGATTTTTAAAGAGAAAAGTGCACAAAGAGCACAAAATGATTTAAATAAGATAGAGTATTTTATTGGGAGAATATCTCAAATAGTCCTAAGGTTGAGCTAAAGGGAAAGCTATCATAATGTTATCATACTTGTATTAACATCCTAATGTCTAATCAACATAAGACGATTCAAAAGAAAGATTAATCGTCTCATGGAATCCTAAAGGAGCATACCATTTCAACATAAGATAATCCTCAATACTCAAACATATTATTTGATTAATATTACACAAATAAAAAACATAAAACATAATGTTTAAATTTGATTTAGAAAGAGATTAAGAAAATGAAGAAATAATAGAAATAAAATCTAATTAAATCCTAAAATACTCCTAAAAAGCCTAAAGCATTTTTTTATATATATTTTTAATTATTTTTATTATATTTTTTTAATATCTAAAATAAAAGAAATTAAAACTAAAACAATTAAAAATGGAAGAGAAAAAAATTAAAAGAATGAGAAATCAGAGGGAGGTATGAAATTCTAAATCAGGAGTCTGGTTCAAAAATTAGGCGTTAGGCCCATTTGGAATGAAGTCCGTGAAGCATTTTTGTTACACAACTTTCAGGCTCCAAAAGAAAATCATGCTAACAGGCTTAATGCATTTTTCCTTTAATTCTTCTTCATCTCTTTCGATTACTCGTTCTATTTTTTTCATTTCTGAATCTCTTCTGTTGCGATGCGTTCTGCTTAAATTGTTGTAGTTGATGTATTGAATGAATAATGATAATAATGGTACTGCAGCAAAGAATGGAGATGGTATAGTGATGCTAGGTGTTGTTGAAGCGCGGTTCAGAAATTGAAATAGTTGAGAAGTGAAGATGACAACTCGGTTCAGAGATTCTGCAAAATAACCGTTGCAGAGAGAATTTTGAGAAACCTCTTTTGAAGTTTGCAGAAAGTTTGTAGAGAAAGGATGTAGTTTTCAATTCTCAGATTTTGGTGAAATGAATTGGTGAAGCCTCTGAGAGTTTTAGAGAGAACTCTGAAGATTCTCTGAGAAGTTTTTCTAGAAGTGAAATTGTCATCCTCAATGAAGATTAAAGCCTGTTATATAGTTGTTGGCTTGACTTGTCTGAGAAGTTTGTTACAGGTAAGAGAATCTTAGCCTTTGAATTTTGAAATTATGTTATATGAATGAACGGAAGAGATGAATCTCCTAAGAAGCTTGCCCTGAAAGTTTATTATTGATCTGCTGAACTGGAATGTTATTTCTAATTGGATTGTGAAGCTGAATTTACTGATGCCTTCTATTTTCTCACGATAATATTTTTCTATTTTGGCTTTCTTGAATTTTTTCTAATCTAATTGATTTTTATCTCCTTGTATTGCTGAATTTTTCAATTGAACATGTTCACATTTGTAGTGCAGGAACTGGTTTTCATTTTTGACAGGTTTGGATTGGAGTTAGCATGATCAAGAAATCTGAGATTATGGAAAGTGAAGATGAAATCGGGGCACAACTTGAAGAATGGTTGAAAATGGACTATGGCATGGAGTTTAAGGACATTATGATTATATTTATTTATGTAAAGTCTTTTTGCACTTCATATGTTCTTGTATTAAAACATTTCATTTGTGTATCTTCTGTTTCTGTTTTTTTTTGTAATTAAAATTCAATGGTGCAGGGAGGTTTTCTTCGAGCTTTCGAATCGATACCAACTAATGGTTTTGAACTGGTCTTATTAATTCCTGCAGGGCGGGTTCTATTTGGTATAGTAGGGTCCCAGTTTTTGGCAGATTTCAAACCACAATTTGATGTCAAGGTAGCAACTTTGGTGTTATTTGAAGAGAGGAAGATAGCCTTAGGAACTTTAGATTAAAAAAATGCCTTCTATCTTTTCTTTATGGATTTTTGACGTATTGTGATGTAAATTTTAAATAGAATGACTTTGAATCTTGACTTAAATTATACTTGCATAAATCCTTGAATTGAATGAACTTGTATTGAGATGAACCATGGATGAATTTTGGTTGAGATGTTCAATGAAACTTATTTTAACTTTGTATGAGTTACTATGCTTGTAATCTAAAATTAAGCTTATCCTTTGTTTCCACCTTCAAAACTACATGATTAGTTCAATTGAAATTTGCAAATTTCCTTGGATCTTTTTGACTACTTGAATGGTGAACTCGAATGGTTTTGATAATGGCAACTTGAACCATGATGAATGATGATGAACCAAGTGAAATTCAGTGAGTTTTGATATATGATGTGCTTGTAACTTCTCTTGAATCATGATGTGAACTCTAATTTCCAAGCAAATAAAATTCATAAATTCTCTAACTTTGCAACTTTGATCTTGAAATGATATTTGCAAGAAATGATGAATGCTTCAAGTTTTTTTTAATTCCAAAGGATGCACTGAAATAAACTTGAACTTGGATTACACCTTGAACTTATCACTTGTAAATTGCATTTTAAGTAATCCATAAACATGAACTTTCAAAACTCAACTTTTAGTCTTCAATTCAAATCCAAAACAATTTGTAAGCAAACAAATAATTGAATAGGAAACCAAACTTTGTTTACAAAAAATTCTCAATCACATCTTTTATGCCATGCTTGATCAACGAAACTTAGTCTCAACTGAATTACAAATCCAAATCATCTTGCATTTGAAGCAACACAGTTCCTTTTGAAAATGAGCGATAAAGGGGCTCCTAACTCATATACCAACCAACAAGATATATCTTGACTTGATGAAAGTTTAGAGCATTACTCAATCACTTGACAAATAACTTGACAAAAAAGAAGTCCTTGATTAAATTCTATAATCTTCCTGAAATGAAAGTCTTGTGGAGAAATCAATGAGGAGAAACCCTAAATGATGATGATGAACTCGTGATGAGGAAAGAATGATGATCCCCGTAGTCTTGAGGAGAAAACCTAGCATAATGAACCGTTGCTGAATAACCAACACCAATGTTCAGGCACAACATAGGAGAAACCATAATCCTCTAGGTATTGAGTGCACATAGGTGAAGAAGTGACTTGAGATGGTGAGAGGAACAAAATTCTAGCTCAAGAACACCCTCAATTGAAATCATGATGAAATCTTAAGCACACAAGTTCAATCCTTAAATCACTGGTTCCTTGAAGAAATTCAGATGAAGACAACCTTGTAGCTTAATGAATCTTGCCAAGGAAGATATCCATGCTTCTCGTAATCCAAAACCCTGGTTTTATACCAAGAGTGATGAGAGAACCAGTTGAATCAACATGAGGAAGGTAACAACCTCAATCCATAGGAAAAACCCTAATGCCAAGAGCTTTTTGATCCCATGCTTGAAGATCTAAAATGAATGAAAGATTTATGATGTAAATGCATATGATGTTATGAATGAACGGATCAGGGGTAATAAATAGGGTATGAAAGCTCATATTGCAAATAAAAGGTCTCTGAAAAGGAAGGAGATGTCCTTTAGGGACTGAGTATGATGTCGAACAAGATGTTCTATACATCTTTCCCTCGGTTAAGAAGAAAGCTGCTAATATGAATGAAATTCCCATTGGCAACATTTCCTTTCACTATGTGGAAAATAATGAATAATGGAAGTATTTGTACCAAAGAAGATTAGCTTTGGATAGTGAGCTTAACATGGATGCTCTTGAATTCAAGGACTACATGAAAGTGTATGATAAAGGAAAGTGTGTAAAGTTCTCTCCTGAAGTGATTAATAGGTTTGGATAATTTTTCTTTATTGTTGGAACCAAAACAAAAATTGATTTAGGGTCTTATGTATGTGAGCATACCTTGAAGCATGCTAATACTTGTGATGTGAAGATGCCTATTGCATTCCTCTCTCTGATATGTGGGTAATTCTCAGTCAACACCCTATTTTTTTGTCACTTATAATGTTGCAAGTAAGAAGGAATCTCATCTATCTTTGCACTATAAGTTATTTGTAGGGAACACATGTCCCAGACATTGTCACGACATCTGGTCACAAAAAAGATAATGTGGAAGATGAAAATATTGATGCAGAAGATAATTCTGATGAAGAAATCGATGACAATACATACATCTGCTACATTGTGTTTGTGTACTAAGGTTACTCTTCTCAGTTGATGTGTTGTTGTAATATTGTTTTGGCTCATAGATGGTTTATGTGATGCTGCTTTTATGATGTCAAATAAGATATCATTACATCTGGTCTCTGGTGGTATTTCTCCTTGTGTGTTTCCATTAAAATGTGTTTCCATCTGTGTTTATGCTTGTATGCTTTGTGTGCTTCCAAATTGTTTTTACATTTACTCTATTTTTATCATTTTTTGGCTAAAAGTGGGGAGTAAATTGTTAGTGTATTTTGTTTGTTCTGATGTGATGTCACATGTCTTAACATGTTAACTAACATTGTTATAGGATTGTACTACTTCTAAGGGAAGAGTAGTTATTATGGTTGCTTGTTGTATGCAACTATTTATGGACAGAATGATAGTTTTTCATGCTTGTTAGTGTTGCTGCTGCTACTACTGATGTAATGTTTGTGTGCATGATGTCTTACCAAATATTATGACATCTATCCTAGTGTGTCTTATAGAGAATCCTAATATGGGGCTTATTTTTCTTCTGCTGCATGTGCTTCTGATGTGATAACTTGGATAGTACATATTGGTTTAGTAATTTAGATTTTATGATGATTTGGATTTTTCCTTGAGGGGGGTATTATTTATGTGTGACAGAGGGAGTAATGGAGCTGTCTAAATTTCCTGAGTATTGTTCTTAGTACTGAGATCTTATGTTGTGTTGGAATCTCTTGTGTTGTGTTGGAGTTGTTATTTGTGATGTCAGACCACACGTCTTGACATATGACTTCAAGAATAATTGAAGAAGTGTTATGTGTTAGGCTGGGTCTCTCTATAACTACAATGTATCTTTGATATATTTTTATATTTGTATTTTTAAACAAAGTTTAGATGTTTTTCATTTAGCTTGTGTTTTATGTTTGTGGTTTTATTCCTCTCTCTAGTTTGATTATGCTAAGGTTGTTTTAGCCAAAATTTTCCAAATGGGGAAATTGTTAGATCCATGGTTTTATGATTGGCAAAAAATTTGCTAAAACATTGTTCATAGCTGATGTTGGGCAAGATATTATGAAATCTTGACCAACTGTCCTGACAGGTTCTGTTGTCATGAATATCAGACAGATGTTGAGCTAGATGTCTTGACATCTTGGCCAACTGTACATCATACGATGCTGTTACTTTTCTTGATATATTTGACTTTATTTTGTGAGATCCTCTTGGCTATATCTCACTTATTTTCGTAGGTCAAGAAGATTTTATTAGGATTAATGAAAATTTGATTTGGTTTCATAAAATGGATCTTTGAGATTTATTAGGAAACTTTGAAGATTAGTTCCTAATTTTGTAGAAGATCTTGCAGTTGATTTAAAATTAGAAGATTGGATTTGTTTGAAGAATCCAAGCCCATAATGCAAGAGTCTATATATAAGGACTTGTTAAACCTAAAATAAGTAAGAATTCACATCAAAAACTGTGTGTGGTTATATAAAGGTTTTAGGGTTTTAAGAGAACTTTAAATTCTTTTTTTATTTTTATATGTCACCCATGTATCTTCTGATACATTAAGGTAGACTGATTGTTCATTGTTACTTTTTAATCACTCATGAGCTTTTAAGCAAAGAGTAGATTGTGTGTCAAGTTATTGTTCTCAGTTAAAAGCTTTTAACCAAAACTGAGTATTGTAATTGAAAGTGTGTTCTTCTGTGTTTGTTATGGTCACTAAGGTGACTGTGGGAAGTGAGAGGGGGTCTCATATCTAGAAGGTTTCTAGGTAGAAATAGCACAAGGTAGTGATTAGAAGATAAGTTGTAAACTAAATTTGTTTAGCTTTGAACTAATACTATCATAGTGGATTTCCTTCCCGACTTGGATGCCCCCAGAGTAGGTGAGTTGCATCAAACTAGGTTAACAATTGGTTGTCTCTTTTACCTTATGCAATTTACTTCCGCATAACTATTGGTTTGGTAAAAGTGTTTTCTGTCAACAGATGTTGTCTTAACATCTATCTTGACATTATGTTTTGGTGTTAGGACATCAGTCTTGACATCTGTGTTAAAGTGCCAAAATTTTAATTAGCATTAGAGCAGGCACCCTATTCTGTTTTAGGTGAGCTTCAGGGAAGGTATTTTCTGGTACTATGGACAAGGAATGAGGATACAATAACATACCACCTCTGTTAGATGATGCAAACTGTGACTATTGGAAGGCTAGGATGGTAGCTTTTTTGAAATCCATGGACAACAGATCTTGGAAAGTTGTTTTAAAAAGATGGAATCATCCTGTTGTGAAGGACAAAGATGAGGATGAGTCTTTGAAGCCAAAAGAAGATTGGTCTAAGGAGGAAGATGAATTAGCTCTTGGAAATTACAAAACCTTGAATGCTCTATTCAATTGAGTGGACAAGAAAATTTTCAAGTTAATAAATTCATGCATTGTAGCTAAATATGCTTGGGAAATCCTGGGTACCACTCATGAAGGGACATCAAAAGTTAAAATGTCAAGAATTCAACTTCTCACCACCAAATTTGGGAATCTCATAATGAAGTAAGATGAGTGTATTCATAATTTTCACATAAATATTCTTGATATTTTCAATTCATCTAGTGCCTTCGGAAAGAAGATGTAAGAAGAAAAGTTGGTTAGAAAAATTCTCAAGTTTCTACCTAAGGGATTTAACATGAAATTACTACCTTTACGCTTTGATGTTTCTACTTACGTCTTCACCCAACACATATGATAGATACTGATAGGGGAACGTATGCCCTACTAGATGATGCCTTTATAAGGTACATT